TAAGTTCCAGCGAAAAGCATCTTATCATGTGTGAGGACAATATTGGCAAGTCTAGGAAGTAAATATTCCATGCTACTACCAATTTTGGCCCACAAGATCTCTCCTCCATTGTAGTTTGTTTAGAGGAAGTCTAGGACAATATTGGCAAGTCTAGGAAGTCTAGGGGAGTTTGGAGGATGTCTGCCACAGTAGTTTGTGTGTGCCTTACAATGTAGTAAAGATTTGGATACAGTTCCCACAACGGTATATTACCCAACCACTTGTCATTCCAAAACCTGATTTGGGTGCCATCCTTTATCGTGAAAGTACCAAAGCAGAAAAAATCTCGCTTCACTTTCACCAGGCTGTCCTAAAAGTGTGAATCTCCAGCCCTCCACTGGACTTGGACAATGGCTTACTACATAAGTACTTGCTTATTTGCATATCAACTATTGCCACACTCCATCAGTTGTCAATAGCTTAAATAGCCACTTGCTAGGTAAGGCAGCAGTCTTCATGACCAAATCATGAATTCCTAGACCCCCTTGCTCTCTAGGGCAGCACAAAATGCTCCATTTAACCACTCTGCTAGTAAGATCTAGAGCGAAGATAATCAATTTTTTTAAGGATAACCCTTGGTATAGTGATAAAGGACACCATATACTCCCTCTGTAAACTAATATAAAAGCATTTAGATTACTAAAGTAGTAATCTAAACACTCTTATATTAGTTTACGGAGGGAGTACAAGGGAAGGCTGCTAAGCACCGAGTTAATCAGTCTAAGGCGACCTCCTGAAGAAAGATGTTTTCCTTTCTAACTACAAAGTCTTTTCTCGGACCGTTCTAACACCCTTTTCCATTCAGCATTTGTAAGTTTTGAAAAGGAATACCAAAATCGTAAATAGAAATTCATCAGTGGCACAACCAAAAATCTCGGTGTATTGATTCTCCATAGCTTGGGCATGTCCAAAACAGAATAACTCTCATGCAAATTAATCTTATCGTCAGCATACTTTGGCTTTAGCAATTAGAACGGCCAACATGTCATATATGATGTTGAAGAGCCTAATGAATAGGGGATCGTCCTGTCGAAGACCCTTCTTCGTTTGAACATAAGGTCTTACATCATCGTTTGCCTTTATAGCTACACTTCCTCCTCGGACAAAAGACTTCATCCAAGATATCCACTTGGGCGAGAAACCTTTCATACGAAGAGTTAACAATAATAGCCATCATCAACAAATGATAATAGCATCTTGACAGGAAAAGAGTTAACAGGGCATCACTTAACATGTGAGGAGCAAAGCAAAGCAAAGATGGCAGGAATCAACATCCCTGGAACTGAAAACACTTACTAGCAGCCTTATATGTTACAACCTGGAGCATGTGAACACAGAGGAAGGAAAAGAAGGCGAAAATAAATAAATGGGTCAAATCTTGATATGATACAGCGGGCATCAAAACTGCAACCCTACCGTGCAAGCTAGCCAACAGGAAAGCAGACATATAGGATCATCCTTTGCTTGTTTAACTTCAAGCCACAGGTATCACCCAGATTGTTGAGAAGTTGCCAGTATAAGCATATCCTAGCAGAAAAGCTGCAGCTATCCATCGTTTCAATTGGCAGATGAAAAATCTACTGAATCACACACTCACATTTCCTGAAACCCTCATTTTCCAGTTCATCATCTGACAAACTTCCATCACTGTTGAAAGAAACATAATCATTCAGTACTTACAAAATATTATGGCTATAACAAGTAACAACCAGTGGGTACAAGACTTGTAAGGCAACAAAACAATAAAGCACGTGTCTGGACTCATGCTCAATACAGATTGCAGTTAGAGAATCAATAAACTTGAAAAGGTTGCAATTAACAATTAAAGTAGTAAACTGACCTTCACATTAATTCAAACAAACACACATAAATACCTATCAGCTCTATCAACATGGAGGAGGTGCATCATATGAATAAATGAGTGTAAATCAGAACAAAGGTGGAAGCACTTTTGAGATAGTTGATGTACGATACTTGATACTCCCTCCGATCCATATTTTTGACACAACTTTAAAGTTGTACTAAAGCTGCGCCAATTAATATGGATCAGAGGGAGTAGCAAAGTTCAACTCCACCAAAGCAGACAACTTATAGCACTAATAGTGAACTGCTTCTAGAAATGTGCTAAAATTTATAATCTACAAATAGACGAACGACAATATACTATTTCTGTGCTGGTAATGATGAAAGAAGGGAATATAATTTTCAGATTGTACCTGGCTTCGAATTCCCTTATCTCAAAAAGCTCCTTTCCACATGTATCAGTCCATTGAACTTTTCTCCGTTCCATACCAGATTTCAAGGTTTGCACCTCTTCCAGTGACTCACGTGGTTCTTCACCTTCACTCACCACTATACAGTGCTCTGACGAATCCCTTTTTGAGTTGCTCTTAAGACAACCTTTTCTCTCATCTCCAGTTATGGAACCATTAGTGGTAACCTTCTTCTTTGTTGAACGGGATGGCTCCTCCAAAGAGTCCAAAGTGTTGCTTGAACTCAGTTTCGGAGGAGATGCCCCTTCGAGCTCCAAAGCAGTGCTACCGAAGCAGATGAAGGGAGCACATTTACGGGGAGCTTGGTTTTTCGTGGAAGCCAGATGACAAACATGCTCAGCTTCCCCATCGACTAGTCGGTACTGACTCCATGGTGATACCTTGACAGGCTTCTCTTCTTCTTTCCGTCCAAGCAGCAAAAGAGCGAGGCCATGACTGTATCCTGAAGCTGACGATGAGAAAAAACCTCCTCCTTCCACAGCCAGTAGCATTTCCACTTCTCATCCAGGAACCATTAACTATATTCTTCTGCTCTGCTTAATAAACCTCCCCTTCATTGACTAGTCTATTGTTCTGCAAGGGAAAGCAAAATCAGATTCAATGCTCACTATACTTGCAATGGAGATATACACTGCCGTCTCATGAATGTAAATCAGTAGCAGAATATGAGCCGCACATCGCTTTGTCTAGTAGTCAATGACATAAATTCTACCATGTCAGTCAACAGGGCATGGATATCTCTACTGCCGCAGGCATTCTTGTCTTGGCCCTTCGTTGGTTACTATGCAATCAAGAAACAGATAAGGTTCCCAATTATATCCAACCGCTCCAGTTTTAGCTGAGCAAATAATTGAAGAGTTCACCTAAACATGATCACATGCCTAATGTACTCCCAAACTGCATCGAAGCCTAAAGGGCTCTTGATTCACTCGTACCACACATATGCCATACCTAATCCGCCAATCCCATGCGAAAAATGCAGTGAACCGGAGCGCACACTCTAACATACTTCTAAAGAGATTAAAAAAAACATAAAGAAAAACATAAAGAAACTGCAAATACAGATTGACAACAAGTTCATAATGAGCTAATCCCAACAAGATATGTTCCCGCTTCCTGACTGAGTTTGTCCTCATAGAATACAAAAGAAAGAAAATCCGCAGCACCGAGCTAAGATCCCACCTAACGCATACACTGAAGAACCAAACTAAGGACCGGCACGACTCGGATCCAAAAAAGAAGTCTGGAAAGTTTAAATCAGTGGGCGAATAAAATGCTCCGGCT